AAAAGCAATTATAGAATTATTTCCAATAAAACTTGTAATCGGACCTATGATGTATCAAGATTATTAATCCTTACGGAGTATGCCAATGCTTACATATTCAATCATCATAGTCATAACTCATTTACTACATTTCATTTTTTTAATTTTATTTTACAATTTTATCAGCTTACAATCTAAATCATATATTTCTTAAATAGAAGTATTACGTAGAAGATTTAAATCTCTTTTGTCAGTGTCAATAACTCTATGACTCACTTGAAGCATGGAACATGGAATATATACATTCCTAGACTCCAGCGCTAAACAACATGTTTCAACGAGAACGAAGCGAACTTTAGGAATTCAAACATTTAATAACCGTGGTTAGTAGTCAGAGAGGGGAAGGTAGCGTTTACACGTGTATTGCCGATGAAAACGTAGTGATCGAGGAAGAGGGTCCTCCTTCGCATATTATACAGATCTGTCGTAATGTGGGGACGATGTCGCAAGAGCGACGACTCGCGGAGGGCATAATCGCGTGGCGGTGCGTTGCGATGCGTGTGTCTCTCTGTACACGCATTCGACACGGGTCCGTACGTAACGTTGCGGCGAGTCGTCGTCAGCTATTTATAGGTGAGCAGCCGAAAACGAAGTAGCAGAGAGAAGTCAAGGAAGGTGGAAGGCCATGAAGAAAGCCTCCGGTGACCCGAATTTTTCTCGGCGACGTCACTGGCCTCTGACCTATTTACAACCGATCTCTCGTGTACACACATATATACGCGCTCACCAGCTGCCTTCAACTCCTCGCGATAACTTTTCCCGTGCGTTTCAAGTGGCTTCGCTTTAGATATAGCCAACGCGGGTTGCACGCCGTGATTATTTGTTTTGAAAACTCGCTACAGATCCTTCTGCGTTTAACACGCGTTCCTTCGACCAGGAAATGCGTTCGTGAATGTTCGATTCTCCAACAAGTGGAGGGAGTGGGAGTCACGTGCTTCTGGTATATATATACGATATGGTCTAATAGGAGTATCTTGTTATCGATGGCCGGTAAAAGTAGTGAGCGGTGATCTTCCGGGTGGGTAAAAACTCGAGGACGAAATTTAATCGCAGCGCGCTCGGCGCCTAAGATAAACGCCACAAAGTTGCGTAGAAAAGCGAGAGAGGGGGAAACAATCTGTTGACATTCGTTCGTGTCGAGCCATTTGTAAACAGGAAGAAAAATCTGAGGATAGTTAAACGGCATTGGTGATAAAATAAAACAGCCTTATCCACGATAGCTTGACCTATTTTACGACGACAATTGCATAAACGTAGTCGCGTAAGCTCATACGTGTATTTATAGACGAGGAAGGTCGGGAAGAAAGCGCCTAGACCGTTTGACCATTTGGCAGAAGCAGCTGCCGAGCAATCATCCAGACGAGTCACTAATAATATCATCCGTGCGCGTTGTGTAACGTTATTCCTTGCAAATAAGGATATAAACGAATGAAAAAGAATGGAGACGAATTGAAAAATTATATACGACGTGAGTTAATAATACGTTTGCGAATGTGTCACCGCCATACTGTCTACCACGTTACATTTTACAGATATCCATACCAGGAAATTGAGAGTACACATAACCTATAATAACATGTCCTATGCGATCGAATTTAATTGGAATATATGTAATACGGAAAAGATCAAATTAACTGTACAATCAAGAAAGAAAAGAAAATGGAGAAATACGTCGTTACGGATAAAGGAATGGGATGAGGTCTCGAAAACAATAATAAACAGATAAGCTGTCTTTCAATGACACGATCGATGATAATCTTGATTACTAATTTACGTCTGGATATATACTTTTACGACACGCTCGAGGTATTATCATTTAAAAATTTGCTACAAGATATGCTCAATTAATTTATACTTACATTAAAATTTGTATAGAAACGTAAGCTGTGCTAAAAGGCTGTATTAATCGAGAGGAAAAAAGGAAGTGATCGAACGTACAGTTACAACCTAACATGACCAGAAAAGTGGTTCCAGAGGAAAAGTAGTTCCAAATGCCAAGCATGTAACCGATATTAACTAAATATTGAACCCACAAAATTAAACCCATGAGAAGCGATTCTCATGTTAACGATGCACGTAGTAATTTCGATTGTCCTTTTGTAGGGACGAGGAACAAAAGATTCGAAAACGTGAAAGAAGAAAATCGTGTGCCGTCATCGACTGACATAACGTTATTAGCGTAAGCATTGGAGCTTTATTTAGAACGAAAGGGACAACGAAGCTACGGTTCGTATTAGGAAGAGGTTGGAAGAAATCCACGGAGGCCGTGATCGAATTTTGGCTCATCGTCGAGCGATGGTTTGTTAACGGCTGTGCCGAGTCGAAAGTACCTAGACTACCGTTCGGCGCCGACCTATATTTCGCTTGGAACAATTGTTGCACAAACGATACGCGCTCGTAAGCTCGCACGCACCGTGTCTTTCTAGCAGCGTGTACACGCGGCTACACCTATACACGTACGCTTATTTATAGACTAAGAGGAAGGTCATGAAGAAAGCGCGGCTAGACGAGCGATTCGTTTCGACATCGTTTCCGGCGCTGACCCATTTCGTCCTCGATTCTTTTCGACATCGACGCTTCCAGCACTCTGACCCAGTTCCTGCCAGTGCGCGATAGTCTCTCACGCACTTTTATTTGTCCCCACGACGACAATCAGCATTACGACGATCTTATTTATGTCTCGAACTCGCGTATATTTCTGCATACGAAACGCACTGGCTTGAGGATCTCGATCGCCCCTTAGGTTTATAACTTTGAAATTTGACCTCTTGTCCCTGCTCCATGGATCGCGTCGTACGTTTTCCTTGGGACGCGTTTGAACATTTCTTACTATGTTTACGCTTTGCTGCTGGGTAATTGTAGATAAGATAAAATGTTTCGTTATTTCTACGAATGTTTGACTTGGAAATGATTAAATTAGGATATTAAATTATTTGGGCAATTATGTATCGATTGAATATATTTCTTGTTTCAGAAATGACAGTTGAAGGTTTGATGAGAGTTTTTAACTTTAAATAAAAAGGTGTTATTTAACAATTAAAAATTATGGATCATTTATACCTTGAACAATTTGAAAAGTTTATAATTGATTATGGTGTATCGAATGTTGGAAGAGTCTGCTGGAGGAAAAATATTAATTACTATTATTCATAATTCTTTCTGATATCAACTTCATCTTTTTGAACAAGGTTAATATTATACGATGATTCTTTTATACGGTCTTAATGATAGAGTGTAAATACAAAAATGTTACAGAGCTATTTTGGCAGATTAAGATTAACACGAGAATAATATAATACAGGAAATATGTTACAAGATTAGGTTTTTTCATTATTATAATTACATTCAATTTTTATAAAATTTTGAAATAATTAACAATAAATGCTAAATCCCACATTTTTATCAGTATAACTCAAGAATCCAATAATTATTGAAATATCCAAGAACTGTAAAAATATAGAAATTAGAAAAAAAATTAAATTTCATTAAAAAAAAATCAATGTAATTTATAATTTCGAATTACATAAGCAACTATTTTGCTCAACGTAAAACATCAAAGCGTTCTATTAATCGAAAACAAGTTATTATTAAGAATGCATAATTCAGAAACACTTCAAGTTGGCCTATAAATTCGCTTCAATAATAACCTACACTAACTTAACACTGTATTAGCTTAACACTTTTTGCAATGAATTACGTTGATTTGTCACGCTTTCTATTCGCCTTCATAACGTTTATCTTTGCATTTCAGGGGCCAATTGATATTCGCTATCATTTCCCTCTTCGAAAGTGCGATGCTCGAGTTCCGATCAACGTGGAACAGGCATTCGAAAGTTTTCGAAGCGGATGTCTTTCAATTTGTCTAATTATCAAGTTCAGTTGGTAGCCGAGAATAAACCAGCAAACATCGGATAGCAGGCAGCGGTAACAGCAGCGTGGAACGCACAAGGAGTCAAGGAAGTCGAACGTTGCTGCTTTAAAACCGCTCGAGCGAGCACTTATGCCCGGGGCAGGTAAACGTCGCTGCTGCGTGTACACAGTTCGCGACACCTTCCACGGCGAATGAGAAGGAAAGTGGCTAGCACGATTCCTTTTTTTCCTTTCTTCCAACGGCGTCACACCGGCGACCTATTTCCGTGACAATCGTGAGCACGCATTTGCACGGCCACGCGGCCCGCACCTCGTGTCTCTCCCTCGGCCAGTGATACTCCTCGACACTTCTCGATGCTCTAGCCAACCGTTCAGATCCCCCAATGAATGACGTCAAGGGACAGGCCCCCTTTTTTCACTCCTCACAGGCACGCTTGGTCGTGGTTTAATTTATGCCAGGTATAAATTGTAGGGACTTTTTGAGGAAGATGGTATAGTAATAGTTTTCGCGGCTATCAGCATAATGTCTGAAATGTAAATGGTTTAATGATAGTGAAATTGAAATTAGGGTTAGTTTGGATATTAAGAGAATTTACGGGCTACTCAATATTTGGGATTTTCTAAATTTTAACACCAAAACGCTTGATCTTTATTTAACTTTTCATATTTTAAATAAATTTGTATTGTTTATTTCATGGAAAACGAATGACTCGATTAATTGTTTAATTTAATGTTTATGTATTTTATATCTTATATGACATTATATTCATTATTTTATTTCAATGATTTTGTATATTATATATTATATTTTATACTTGATACTATATTTAATAAGTATTTTCTAAATGCACTATATTATATTATATTGTAATACTACTATATTTAATAGCATATTTTACATGTACATTTGTATATTTTTTAAATTAAATAAATATTGTAACATATTTCAATTATTGTAAGGTTATTTAAAATAAGTATAGACATCTTTCTGTAACTTAAAAAAGTTACTTTTGTTATTACATACTATTACACTCTGTAAATTAAAAATGTTCTTATTCAATATATTGTATCTATTATATTATATCTATTACAAACTTTGAATATAATACAAATTAGAGGGTACAGATAAGAAAAATATTCAGTAGTATTGTAACTATGCGTGAAACAATTAAAAAGAAATGTTATTAGAAAAAAGATATAAATGAAATATTGCACAAATGAGTGTAAGTTTGTAGCAGGACTTCAGTTCCCTATCTTAAAAGTTATTTGCAATGCTCTTTAACAAATTTGTATCAATCAAATAAATTTCCATGTGTATTTTTTACTACAAATCGCCAAATAAATTAAACGAGTCACAACTGATAATAAAGAAAACTTCATACAAGTTTTTGGTTTTACGTTCAATATATATAGCATATTATGTTATTTAATTCACCTGTCTTTTAATATAACAAAAGTTATCGAGAAACACATTGTTGCTTATCCTATTTACATAACATATGTATATCTTTTAAAGCTTGACATATGTACACCCTATTTATATAATGTGGTCAATTTTAATCAATAAATGCTAATTATTCATAAGCTACTCACTGCATGAAAAAACGTTTCAAATAAGAAAGGAATGATTTCGAGGGGGGCCATAAAATGGTATAATTATATTATATGAAGGTTAACTTTGGTTTTTTAAATGTATCACTGTATTCAGCACTCCATTTTCCATAAAAGTGTGTCATTCTTGTGAAAAAGTCCAATAAAGTAAGAGATATTTCAATTTAAATATTCGTAACTTAACCTAAACTTAACTCAAATTTAATGATGAACCATAAACCATATCTAATGATAGATTAGGAACTAAGATGGTACTTTTTAGATGAGAATTCCAAGTGCTCAAAGATAAATTCGATAACAGAAATGCAATTGTTATAATTGTTATAATATTAATAACATGCGCAAGATAGAATGTATTTTTGATAAAAAAAAGTAATGACTCCTCGCGAATGATAATGATAAGGTAAATACTATACTAATTTTACATCGTTATCGTGGACTATTGAAAGTGACTTGATAATGATTTTAAACGACAATCGCCTTTATTTTATTACTGTTGAGTAATCTCTGTTTCGCATGTGCAGTTAATTATCCTTTATTATTACACCTTGTAGCTCCAATAATTTATTTCAGTCGATGACTAATTTTTAGGTTATGTTCACACCAGTCGTAAAGAAAATGATACTTAGACCATTTTTCTTAATACAAGTACTACTAAATAGGTTAAAATGACTGTTATCAGATATTTTGTTTGTGTAATTATTGAAAATATGCAGTTGATTTTGACAATATTATTCATTTCTATTTAGATAGAAACCTGATTATATATAATCCACTTACCTTCATCACACCACTACAATTACTATTATTTGCGTATAGTGTAACTACTCATTAAGTAGGACTATGTTAGCTAGTCATAAGTCGGTAGTTTTAGTGTCAATGACTCGTAAATGAAACAAACTATGAGCAAATAGCTCCTCCAAAATATAATACACTAAAACCACAGTTAATATAGGTTGATTAGACCGTCACATAAATTTTCAAAATATAAAATTTTGTATGCTATCTTTTTAAACAAAGTATCTATTCTTGTATTACTTTATGGTATGCATGTGTGTGCGTGGCTGTGTATGTGTAATATAACATGATTTTACTTAATACATTAACTCTCATAAAATTATTATGGTAATATAGAATACTTATATATATTAATTTATTATTATGTTAATCTAAAGTAGTTATATATGTTAATCTAGAGTACTTATATAAATATTATAATTTGAAATAAGGGCTATAACGATTTTTTCAAGTACAGTAATGTAAATAATTTGTCACGTATTATAAATTTTAAACTTCATATCTAAATGTTTCTGTAATTTGCATAATACTCTAAAAAGGAGATTATCATTTGGATTTTTAATTTTAAAAAATAAAATATTCTTACTTCTAAAATTTGAAGGACACCCATCATTGGAATTAGGGTACTAGTTTCCTCTCTGTTCCAGTTATGTTACTTACACTAGAAAAGCTAACAAGTATAAACAATATACATATTTTACAAATTTTATAACGAATATTAAATATTCCAAATTAATGATACTGATTTCAGTCAACTTTCGTCGCAAATTTTGTTGCTGTCATAAGAGCTCAAATAGTTATTTTATTTATCAATAAAATCATCCTTATTTTGTTCAAATTTACCTGGGCTACAAATCCATTATGAATTATAATTCATATTTTACTCGTCAAAAAATAATACTCAACCCCTACATAAAATTACAAGAACTACTAGTATACCTTAATCATTATCATAGTGTTCTTAAATCCACCTTGATCATTTAATTAAACAATTAAACCAAATGCAAAAATGATCAAAAAGTCAAAAACTGAATACAGCCCTAGTCTCCTCTGCTACTCCTTTCCAATGGTTGCTCAGCTCATAACTCCATAAGAATTGTAGTCCAAACTCAGTCCTGAAGGTACCAAAACAGTAAATGTGACACTGCAAGGTATGCACACAAATTCCTGCCGGGTTTCTGAAAATTTTCAAGGAATATTGACGTTACTGACCTTCTTTTCCGAAAAGCTCGTTAGCAAGAGGAAGACCCTCCATCCTCGACTCCCGTGCTTAAGCCACTTCGTACTGTGTAACGGATCGCATTGGTGAAAATAGAGGTAGTCTTGGGGGGTCCCGTGTCAGGGGGTGAAAAGGTTGGAAATGAAATGCAAATCGGTTGTAAATCAGGTCAGACGCGTGGCACTGACGTGGGACCGTTTCACGATGACAATTCCCCGTAAGCTGG